CCTCCCTCTCTTCCTCCCTCTCTTCCTCTCTCTCTTCCTCTCTCTCTTCCTCTCTCTCTTCCTCTCTCTCTTCCTCTCTCTCTTCCTCTCTCTCTCTCTTCCTCCCTCTCTTTCTCTCCTTTCTCTCTCTTCCTCTCTCTCTTCCTCTCTCTCTCCCTATCTCTCTCCCCCCTCTCTCTCTCTTCCTCTCTCTTCCTCCCTCTCTCTCTTCCTCCCTCCCTTCCTCTCTCTCTCTTCCTCCCTCTCTTCCCCTCTCTCTCTCTCTCTCTTCCTCTCTCTCTTCCTCTCTCTCTCTCTCTTCCTCCCTCTCTTTCTCTCCTTTCTCTCTCTTCCTCTCTCTCTCCCCCTCTCTCTCTTTGTCTCTCTCTCTCTCTCTCTCTCTCTCTCTCTCTCTCTCCCTTCTCTCTTTCTCTCATTTCTCTCCTCTCTCTCTTCCTCTCTCTCTTTCTCTCTCTCTCTCTTTCTCTCTCTCTCTCTCTCTCTCTCTCTCTCTCTCTCTCTCTCTCTCTCTCTCTCTCTCTCTCTTTCTCTCTCTCTTTCTCTCTCTCTCTCTTTCTCTCCCCCCCTCCATCCCAGTAAAACTGTTGACATATTTTTTAAAAACACTCTAAACATTTCTTGTTTCCTCTCCAGTGGTAACGGGAGCGACGGATGGAATAGGGAAATGCTACGCTAAGGAGGTACGGTCATAATGTCGGCATTGCCTACACTTCCGGTGATCCACTTTATCCCAATCACACGTATCTTTTCTTCTCAATAGTTGGCCAAGAGGGGATTCAATGTGGTCCTCATCAGTCGGACTCTGGAGAAGCTTCAGAAAGTTGCGGCAGAGATTGGTAAGAGTTTGGGTTCATATGTCCCCATAGTAACAAAAAAAAGTTTATTTGACTCTAATAAAAGTGTAAACTTTTTGCTGTAAATGTTTTGCCTTTTTGGGCTTTGAGTAGCGCGGGGAAGAGTTATTATCGCCCAAAAACTAAACACTGTCATGAGGAAGTCACAATAAAAAACAGAAGTACCTCCTGGGTGGGCCCCTTTTAGAAATCCACATTTGGCCCATCAGAAGTCTCCATTGGTCCTCTCAGATGTTCCCCCCCTGGGCCCATCAGAAATACCAAGTGGAGCCATAAGAAGTACCCACTTGGCCCATCAGTAGCACATCTTAAGTCTATTAAACATACCCTCATGGGTCCATAAGAAGTACCCTCTGAACCCATCAAAAGTACCTCCTGGACTCATCAGAAGACTCCCAAGGCCTATCAGAAGTACCCCCCGCACCCATAAAAAGTACCCCCTGGACCCGTTAGCATTACCGCCTAGAACCATCAGAGGTACACCCTGGACCCACTTAGAATACCCTCTGGGCCCATCAGAGGAACCTCCTGGACCCATCTGAAGTAATTACTGGACCCACTGGAAGTATTTCCTGGGTGTATCAGAAGTGCCCCCTGTGTCCATCAGAAGTACCCACTGGAACCATCAGAAGTAAATGTCTGGGTCTATTAGAAGTACCCCTGCCACTCAGAAGTACCCCCTGGGGCCATCAGAAGTATGGCCTGGGTCTATCAGAAGTACTTCCTATGTCCATCAGAGGTTTCCCCTGGGCCTATCAGAAGTACCACCTAGATCCAATTGAAGTACCTCCTAGGTCCATCAAAAGCACCCCCCGGGCCCACCATAAGAAAACAACATTTAACCCTTAAACAATAACCGTGTGTATTCTCAGGATCTGTATTCATACCAAACATTTCCTCCTGGATACAATGTAAACTCTCCTTCTGTGCTGAACATCACATCATTGCTGGAGGGGAAACTCTGCTCCTACAAAGGGTTAATGGAAGAACAGGCGGTGTCATATAACCCTTTCCTCCCCAATGGATGTGCAGGAGTCCTCCATCAATGAAAGTCCCTGGAAGGACGGGCCGTATACTAGTGATTGCCCAGATATAATGAGCATTGTATACTTCATCATCTTATGTCTATGAGAGTCCTGATCAGTGTGACGGGTGCTTCTCGCTGCGCACGTCCGCTGACACATTTTAGATCGTTTTATATGTTGGAATTGTCCAGATCTGTGACCAGGTGATTTATAGTAATCTACTTCCACAGAGCAACAGAGTGGGCGGAAAACCAGAATCATCCAGGCAGATTTTACAGGGGGGGCCGAGATTTACCCCAAGATTGAGGAGGGCCTGAAGGACCTGGACATCGGAATCCTGGGTAATAACATTCTATACGGTGACTGCATCTTACTGTCAGGACAGGATCAGACAGAGCTGGGATCTATAATGTGGAGACATGTGATTGGATGTGATCAGGACAGGATCACACAGAGCTGGGATCTATAAGGTGGAGAGATGTGATTGGATGTGATCAGGACAGGATCACACAGAGCGGGGATCTATAATGTGGAGAGATGTGATTGGATATTATCAGGACAGGATCACACAGAGCTGGGATCTATAATGTGGAGAGATGTGATTGGATGTGATCAGGACAGGATCACACAGAGCGGGGATCTATAATGTGGAGAGATGTGATTGGATATTATCAGGACAGGATCACACAGAGCGGGGATCTATAATGTGGAGAGATGTGATTGGATGTTATCAGGACAGGATCACACAGAGCGGGGATCTATAATGTGGAGAGATGTGATTGGCTGTGATCAGGACAGGATCACACAGAGCTGGGATCTATAATGTGGAGAGATGTGATTGGCTGTGATCAGGACAGGATCAGACAGAGCGGGGATCTATAATGTGGAGAGATGTGATTGGCTGTGATCAGGACAGGATCAGACAGAGCGGGGATCTATAATGTGGAGAGATGTGATTGGCTGTGATCAGGACAGGATCAGACAGAGCGGGGATCTATAATGTGGAGAGATGTGATTGGCTGTGATCAGGACAGGATCAGACAGAGCGGGGATCTATAATGTGGAGAGATGTGATTGGCTGTGATCAGGACAGGATCAGACAGAGCGGGGATCTATAATGTGGAGAGATGTGATTGGCTGTGATCAGGACAGGATCAGACAGAGCGGGGATCTATAATGTGGAGAGATGTGATTGGCTGTGATCAGGACAGGATCAGACAGAGCGGGGATCTATAATGTGGAGAGATGTGATTGGCTGTGATCAGGACAGGATCAGACAGAGCGGGGATCTATAATGTGGAGAGATGTGATTGGCTGTGATCAGGACAGGATCAGACAGAGCTGGGATCTATAATGTGGAGACATGTGATTGGATGTGATCAGGACAGGATCACACAGAGCTGGGATCTATAAGGGGGAGAGATGTGATTGGATGTGATCAGGACAGGATCACACAGAGCGGGGATCTATAATGTGGAGAGAGGGGATTGGATGTTATCAGGACAGGATCACACAGAGCGGGGATCTATAATGTGGAGAGATGTGATTGGATGTTATCAGGACAGGATCACACAGAGCGGGGATCTATAATGTGGAGAGATGTGATTGGATGTTATCAGGACAGGATCACACAGAGCTGGGATCTATAATGTGGAGAGATGTGATTGGATATTATCAGGACAGGATCACACAGAGCTGGGATCTATAATGTGGAGAGATGTGATTGGATATTATCAGGACAGGATCAGACAGAGCTGGGATCTATAATGTGGAGACATGTGATTGGATGTGATCAGGACAGGATCACACAGAGCTGGGATCTATAAGGGGGAGAGATGTGATTGGATGTGATCAGGACAGGATCACACAGAGCGGGGATCTATAATGTGGAGAGATGTGATTGGATGTTATCAGGACAGGATCACACAGAGCTGGGATCTATAATGTGGAGAGATGTGATTGGATATTATCAGGACAGGATCAGACAGAGCTGAGATCTATAATGTGGAGAGATGTGATTGGCTGTGATTAGGACAGGATCAGACTGAGCTGGGATCTATAATGTGGAGAGATGTGATTGGATGTGATCAGGACAGGGTCAGACAGAGCTGGGATCTATAATGTGGAGAGATGTGATTGGATGTGATCAGGACAGCATCACACAGAGCTGGGATCTATAATGTGGGGAGATGTGATTGGATATTATCAGGACAGGATCAGACAGAGCTGGGATCTATAATGTGGAGAGATGTGATTGGATATTATCAGGACAGCATCACACAGAGCTGGGATCTATAATGTGGAGAGATGTGATTGGATATTATCAGGACAGGATCAGACTGACCTGGGATCTATAATGTGGAGAGATGTGATTGGATATTATCAGGACAGCATCACACAGAGCTGGGATCTATAATGTGGAGAGATGTGATTGGATATTATCAGGACAGCATCACACAGAGCTGGGATCTATAATGTGGAGAGATGTGATTGGATATTATCAGGACAGGATCAGACAGAGCTGGGATCTATAATGTGGAGAGATGTGATTGGATATAAAGTGAATAATTTTTTTTTACCCTTTTCAGTAAATAACGTCGGAATGTCCAAAGCGGCTCCAACAGGATTCCTTTCTTCTGGCGATCTAAACAAGGCGAGTGTTTATTTTTCTCACTTTTAAGGTTTCACAATGATGATTTTTGTTAGTTACCAACAATAATTAAACATTATTTCCTGAAGTGTAACTAAAGGGAGCGCGTATATTTCAGTGCTGGACAGAGCAGGAAAGGGTTTGGACCTCTGCTGGGCTTTTATTGCTACGTAAGTGAAAAAACAAAAACAGCACCAGGTCTGGAGAACCCCAAAAACCATCATTGGCTTCACAAATGACAACTAGAAGATATGCACATCCAACACGTTTTGGGGGGTCATAATCCCCCTTCATCAGGGCTTAAGCCATGAGCAATGGGACACTGATGGACTCTAAGCTCTGTGCACAATTCTATTCCTCAGGCAGGAGTGGAAACTCTTGGTGTGAAAGTTTCTTTGTCAGCAGTTCAGCGTTTGTACAAATATCATTTCATCTTTGAGATTAAGTAGCCAGAATGTAAATAATAGATCACCGAGTTTTGGTGCGAAATATAGTGAAGCCCCATGCCGGCCCCTAGAAGCAGGGGCGTCCTGAGGCAGGTTGTCACCCGGAGCGGGTACCGAGTGGCACCCTGCAGTGGCTCCATTGCGCATCCGTGTGACGTCATTGCGCACGTGCAACGTTATCGCACATGTGCTTGATGACATCACGGGCTGTAACCTGCTGGTGGCCATCTTGGTGATGGGCGCCGGTGTTCCGTTGCAGGGAGAGGAGGGGGCATTCACCCGGCGGGATAAGGTATGCCGCTGTGGCACCTCCTCTCTTGAGCAACTGTCGGGCTCTCGGTCCATGACCGAGTGCCCGGCTTTTCAGAGTGGGTGACACCAAAATGACCATCAGTCAGTGAAAATATACCTCCTGGGGGGCAGTTTAATACCTTTATATTGGCCGTGGGGTTTCTTTAATTTGCAGAGATCAGATTTAGAAACTTCACTTTAAGATCAAAGAATTCTACAAACTGTACACATGGCGCCTATAGTGTCTTCCAGTCGTAGTCGCTGGTCTGTGAGCTCTCACACACCTGTACGTCAGCATTAGAGGTGACTTTTATTCAGGGGCGTATCTGCTGTGAGGCAAAAAAGGCGTTTGCCTCGGGCGGCAGATTTCAGGTGGGCGACAAAAATGCCACCTCCAAAACAGCAAGGCGAACCGGGCTGCACGAAATAGAGCAGCATCGGCTGCCTCAGGAACTCACGGAGGCGGCGAGCAGGAGAAGGAGGAGGCGGGTCCAGCTTGTGTCGGGCGCTTGCGAGGCGGAATAGAAAACAAACACATTACAATTCTTTTTTTTTTTCCTGTCACAGAGCATCACGGACATGATGAACTGTAATGTATTGTCAATGCTGCATGTAAGTCTATCATTTATTTCTATGTCATGTATAGAAGGGAGCTATGAGTCTGCCCTCCTCCTGCAGGGTGATACAGACAGAAGGGAGCTATGAGTCTGTCCTCCTCCTGCAGGGTGATACATAGAAGGGAGCTATGAGTCTGTCCTCCTCCTGCAGGGTGATACATAGAAGGGAGCTATGAGTCTGTCCTCCTCCTGCAGGGTGATACATAGAAGGGAGCTATGAGTCTGTCCTCCTCCTGCAGGGTGATACATAGAAGGGAGCTATGAGTCTGTCCTCCTCCTGCAGGGTGATACATAGAAGGGAGCTATGAGTCTGTCCTCCTCCTGCAGGGTGATACATAGAAGGGAGCTATGAGTCTGTCCTCCTCCTGCAGGGTGATACATAGAAGGGAGCTATGAGTCTGTCCTCCTCCTGCAGGGTGATACATAGAAGGGAGCTATGAGTCTGTCCTCCTCCTGCAGGGTGATACATAGAAGGGAGCTATGAGTCTGTCCTCCTCCTGCAGGGTGATACATAGAAGGGAGCTATGAGTCTGTCCTCCTCCTGCAGGGTGATACATAGAAGGGAGCTATGAGTCTGTCCTCCTCCTGCAGGGTGATACATAGAAGGGAGCTATGAGTCTGTCCTCCTCCTGCAGGGTGATACATAGAAGGGAGCTATGAGTCTGTCCTCCTCCTGCAGGGTGATACATAGAAGGGAGCTATGAGTCTGTCCTCCTCCTGCAGGGTGATACATAGAAGGGAGCTATGAGTCTGTCCTCCTCCTGCAGGGTGATACATAGAAGGGAGCTATGAGTCTGTCCTCCTCCTGCAGGGTGATACATAGAAGGGAGCTATGAGTCTGTCCTCCTCCTGCAGGGTGATACATAGAAGGGAGCTATGAGTCTGTCCTCCTCCTGCAGGGTGATACATAGAAGGGAGCTATGAGTCTGTCCTCCTCCTGCAGGGTGATACATAGAAGGGAGCTATGAGTCTGTCCTCCTCCTGCAGGGTGATACATAGAAGGGAGCTATGAGTCTGTCCTCCTCCTGCAGGGTGATACATAGAAGGGAGCTATGAGTCTGTCCTCCTCCTGCAGGGTGATACATAGAAGGGAGCTATGAGTCTGTCCTCCTCCTGCAGGGTGATACATAGAAGGGAGCTATGAGTCTGTCCTCCTCCTGCAGGGTGATACATAGAAGGGAGCTATGAGTCTGTCCTCCTCCTGCAGGGTGATACATAGAAGGGAGCTATGAGTCTGTCCTCCTCCTGCAGGGTGATACATAGAAGGGAGCTATGAGTCTGTCCTCCTCCTGCAGGGTGATACATAGAAGGGAGCTATGAGTCTGTCCTCCTCCTGCAGGGTGATACATAGAAGGGAGCTATGAGTCTGTCCTCCTCCTGCAGGGTGATACATAGAAGGGAGCTATGAGTCTGTCCTCCTCCTGCAGGGTGATACATAGAAGGGAGCTATGAGTCTGTCCTCCTCCTGCAGGGTGATACATAGAAGGGAGCTATGAGTCTGTCCTCCTCCTGCAGGGTGATACATAGAAGGGAGCTATGAGTCTGTCCTCCTCCTGCAGGGTGATACATAGAAGGGAGCTATGAGTCTGTCCTCCTCCTGCAGGGTGATACATAGAAGGGAGCTATGAGTCTGTCCTCCTCCTGCAGGGTGATACATAGAAGGGAGCTATGAGTCTGTCCTCCTCCTGCAGGGTGATACATAGAAGGGAGCTATGAGTCTGTCCTCCTCCTGCAGGGTGATACATAGAAGGGAGCTATGAGTCTGTCCTCCTCCTGCAGGGTGATACATAGAAGGGAGCTATGAGTCTGTCCTCCTCCTGCAGGGTGATACATAGAAGGGAGCTATGAGTCTGTCCTCCTCCTGCAGGGTGATACATAGAAGGGAGCTATGAGTCTGTCCTCCTCCTGCAGGGTGATACATAGAAGGGAGCTATGAGTCTGTCCTCCTCCTGCAGGGTGATACATAGAAGGGAGCTATGAGTCTGTCCTCCTCCTGCAGGGTGATACATAGAAGGGAGCTATGAGTCTGTCCTCCTCCTGCAGGGTGATACATAGAAGGGAGCTATGAGTCTGTCCTCCTCCTGCAGGGTGATACATAGAAGGGAGCTATGAGTCTGTCCTCCTCCTGCAGGGTGATACATAGAAGGGAGCTATGAGTCTGTCCTCCTCCTGCAGGGTGATACATAGAAGGGAGCTATGAGTCTGTCCTCCTCCTGCAGGGTGATACATAGAAGGGAGCTATGAGTCTGTCCTCCTCCTGCAGGGTGATACATAGAAGGGAGCTATGAGTCTGTCCTCCTCCTGCAGGGTGATACATAGAAGGGAGCTATGAGTCTGTCCTCCTCCTGCAGGGTGATACATAGAAGGGAGCTATGAGTCTGTCCTCCTCCTGCAGGGTGATACATAGAAGGGAGCTATGAGTCTGTCCTCCTCCTGCAGGGTGATACATAGAAGGGAGCTATGAGTCTGTCCTCCTCCTGCAGGGTGATACATAGAAGGGAGCTATGAGTCTGTCCTCCTCCTGCAGGGTGATACATAGAAGGGAGCTATGAGTCTGTCCTCCTCCTGCAGGGTGATACATAGAAGGGAGCTATGAGTCTGTCCTCCTCCTGCAGGGTGATACATAGAAGGGAGCTATGAGTCTGTCCTCCTCCTGCAGGGTGATACATAGAAGGGAGCTATGAGTCTGTCCTCCTCCTGCAGGGTGATACATAGAAGGGAGCTATGAGTCTGTCCTCCTCCTGCAGGGTGATACATAGAAGGGAGCTATGAGTCTGTCCTCCTCCTGCAGGGTGATACATAGAAGGGAGCTATGAGTCTGTCCTCCTCCTGCAGGGTGATACATAGAAGGGAGCTATGAGTCTGTCCTCCTCCTGCAGGGTGATACATAGAAGGGAGCTATGAGTCTGTCCTCCTCCTGCAGGGTGATACATAGAAGGGAGCTATGAGTCTGTCCTCCTCCTGCAGGGTGATACATAGAAGGGAGCTATGAGTCTGTCCTCCTCCTGCAGGGTGATACATAGAAGGGAGCTATGAGTCTGTCCTCCTCCTGCAGGGTGATACATAGAAGGGAGCTATGAGTCTGTCCTCCTCCTGCAGGGTGATACATAGAAGGGAGCTATGAGTCTGTCCTCCTCCTGCAGGGTGATACATAGAAGGGAGCTATGAGTCTGTCCTCCTCCTGCAGGGTGATACATAGAAGGGAGCTATGAGTCTGTCCTCCTCCTGCAGGGTGATACATAGAAGGGAGCTATGAGTCTGTCCTCCTCCTGCAGGGTGATACATAGAAGGGAGCTATGAGTCTGTCCTCCTCCTGCAGGGTGATACATAGAAGGGAGCTATGAGTCTGTCCTCCTCCTGCAGGGTGATACATAGAAGGGAGCTATGAGTCTGTCCTCCTCCTGCAGGGTGATACATAGAAGGGAGCTATGAGTCTGTCCTCCTCCTGCAGGGTGATACATAGAAGGGAGCTATGAGTCTGTCCTCCTCCTGCAGGGTGATACATAGAAGGGAGCTATGAGTCTGTCCTCCTCCTGCAGGGTGATACATAGAAGGGAGCTATGAGTCTGTCCTCCTCCTGCAGGGTGATACATAGAAGGGAGCTATGAGTCTGTCCTCCTCCTGCAGGGTGATACATAGAAGGGAGCTATGAGTCTGTCCTCCTCCTGCAGGGTGATACATAGAAGGGAGCTATGAGTCTGTCCTCCTCCTGCAGGGTGATACATAGAAGGGAGCTATGAGTCTGTCCTCCTCCTGCAGGGTGATACATAGAAGGGAGCTATGAGTCTGTCCTCCTCCTGCAGGGTGATACATAGAAGGGAGCTATGAGTCTGTCCTCCTCCTGCAGGGTGATACATAGAAGGGAGCTATGAGTCTGTCCTCCTCCTGCAGGGTGATACATAGAAGGGAGCTATGAGTCTGTCCTCCTCCTGCAGGGTGATACATAGAAGGGAGCTATGAGTCTGTCCTCCTCCTGCAGGGTGATACATAGAAGGGAGCTATGAGTCTGTCCTCCTCCTGCAGGGTGATACATAGAAGGGAGCTATGAGTCTGTCCTCCTCCTGCAGGGTGATACATAGAAGGGAGCTATGAGTCTGTCCTCCTCCTGCAGGGTGCTACAGACAGAAGGGAGCTATGAGTCTGTCCTCCTCCTGCAGGGTGCTCAACCTTCATGTTTTGAAATATTGTTTTCATTACATCGATATTATAGAAAATAAATTATTCTTTGTTTTCTATTTCTAGATGATTCGAATCTTACTTCCAAGAATGGTGGAAAGGTAAAGTTCACACTTCCATATAACTTTTATATAACTGCTCTTTCCATTTTCTTTTATCACTGCCGCTGAAATTGATTGTCACTTTGACCCCAATACCTATTACACAATCAGACAGACGTTCAGAAAACACATTTTTATAACTGAAGTTCAACAGATGTATGACCAGCTTCAGTGCCATAGTTCCCCTATTTCCCGTCTTTGAGTTTTGAGTGTTTCCCCTACCCAGCAGAATTGCGCATTCTATAAAGTAGACCTCCAGTAGGGAGCCCATAAGCTGCACACCCGATTGCTCTTCTGGATATGGTTGGGCACTAAAGGGCCAAGTCACCCCCTAGTCTCCTGGAACCCACAACACAGAGATCAGAGACACCTTCATCCCAGCAACATTCTCCTCCCATGTACATACAGAATCATGGATTCTACACCGCCGGTGATTCCATGGAAGCCACTACAAGGTGCACCAGAAAAGGACATTGGGCGTGTCCCCCTATAGCTGGGATACTTTCTTCTTATTCTTTCTCTTCTTTTTCTCTGTCTCTACATCTCTTCCCTCTTGCTGTCTCCCTTTCATCTCTTCCACTATTTTCTTTCTTTCTCTCTTTCTTTTCTCTTTCATCTTCCTCTCTATACCGCCCCTTTTTATCCTTCCCCTTTCCTCTCTCTTATACTTTCTTTCTTTTTTCTTTCTCTTTTTCTATTTATCGCTTTCTTTCTTTCTCTCCTTATTTTCTCTTTCATCTTCCTCTCTATACTGCCCCTTTATCCTTCCCCCTTCCTCTCTCTTCTACTTTCTTTCTTTCTTTCTTTCTTTCTTTCTTTCTTTCTTTCTTTCTCTCTTTCTCTCTTTTTTTTCTGTTTCTTTCTTTCTTTCTCTCTCTCTCTCTCCTTTCTATTTCTCTCTCTCTCTCCTTTCTATTTCTCTCTCTCTCTCTTTCTCTCTTGTGTCTCTCTGCTTTGTTTGTGTCTGGATTCTCTTTCTTTTCTCTTTCCTCTTCCTCTCTATACTGCCCCTTTATCCTTCCCCCTTCCTCTCTCTTCTACTTTCTTTCTTTCTTTCTTTCTTTCTTTCTTTCTTTCTTTCTTTCTCTCTTTCTCTCTTTTTTTTCTGTTTCTTTCTTTCTTTCTCTCTCTCTCTCTCCTTTCTATTTCTCTCTCTCTCTCCTTTCTATTTCTCTCTCTCTCTCTTTCTCTCTTGTGTCTCTCTGCTTTGTTTGTGTCTGGATTCTCTTTCTTTTCTCTTTCCTCTTCCTCTCTATACTGCCCCTTTATCCTTCCCCCTTCCTCTCTCTTCTACTACTCTCGTTCCTTCTCTCTCTCTCTCTCTCTCTCTCTCTCTCTCTCTCTCTCTCTCTCTCTCTCTCTCTCTCTCTCTCGTTCTTGATATGACCCTCTTTGTCCTCTTCCTAGGAAGAAAGGTCTCATAATAAACATATCTTCTGAGGCGGGCACTCACCCTTATCCAAGGATCACCCTCTACAGTGCCACAAAGGTATGAACAATACAAAGACACACCCTTGTATAATACAGAATATAATGTCAGATTCACATTACAGGGATCCTTAAAGTGACATTAAACCCTCAGATTTTTTAACATAAAGCAATACTGTAATGTGCGCCTTCCTGTAATCCATGGTAGTTTCCCTTCTCTTTGATGCTCTTCCTTTTAAATCTGTATCTGTTCTCATGCTGGGGGAGAACTTCCCTTTTCAGCTCAGGGCCTCTTCCTGTAGTGCTGGCTCAGGTTACAGCCTATACAAACGGATACACAGACACCGTGTGAGACAAGGGAGTCTGCTGAAAAGGGAAGTTCTTTCGAAGCATGAGAACAGATACAGATTTAAAAGGAAGAGCATCAAAGAGAAGGGAAACTACCATGGATTACAGGAAGGCGCACATTACAGTATTGCTTTATGTTAAAAAATCTGAGGGTTTAATGTCACTTTAACCAATGTAACATTTTTGAAATGTTCTTCTGGAGAGCAGAAACCACAAGACGCCCGCTGATACCTTTATAAGAGGCTTTTGTGCCCCTCTGTGATTTGGTTTCACCTTGCTGCGCTGACTTTTCTGCCTGATTAAGCTCCACCAAGGTCCATTCTCTGTCCAGTGGAAAAACCACGAGATGCCCGCTAATAAACATTATTAGAAGATCCTCTGCTGTACTGTACCCCGCTTTATTTTAGTTTTACTTTGTTACTCTGATTTGTCTTCATAACTAAGCTCCACCAGCATCCATCCCTTGTCCGGGGAGGAGCCCTGACTGACCACTGAGGCACCATTTCGGAGAGGGTTCTGGTGGAGCTTGGCCATGAAATCAGAAGTCAGGCCGTAGTAACAAATTATAACTAAATCAGAGAGAGGAACAGGAGAAGATTTCCTGGGGGATTACAGTAACAGCGGGTATCTTGTGGTGTCTGCTCTTAGGCAGGACTTTTACTTCAAAGCTTTATAATGGAGCGCAGGTTCACTTTAAAGGCTCATTATGCTGAAACACACTGTGGAAAATTAGCATTTTGAATGCATTGATGGAGGATCCCTTCACAAAGCTTTAGAATGGATTAAAACTGTTGCAGCACATTAAGGCGCATGTTCCCATGCATTGTATTAAGGCAGCACGGGCTGCCTAAGGCATCAATACGCACAAAAAACCTGCATGTGCCACTCGTTGTGACACAGCGCACCACAATGCACAGTAGTGCGTTACTCTCATTGTGGTGCGCTGCGACGCACATCTGTTGGCAAGGTGTGTCGGGATGCCATTAAGAATAAATGGCACTGCAGCACAGCAAAGCGCAAATGGTGCGTATTTGGTTATTGCAGTAATGTATATGTGTTACTGCGGCCCAACAGTTTGAACGCAACATCAACACAGGAATACGTCTTTTTATATTGAGCCTCGTGTAACTATGTACAGGAAGCTACTAAAATTCACCGTGCAAGACTTATTCCCAACGCATTGCAATGCAACATGGTGCAAGCGTTGCTGACACTGGGTGTGTTTCCTGACCAGGAGGGTAGTTAGGCACCAACCTTTGAAGTGGCTGATGATGTGTCTTATCACCAGCTAAGCCAGAGATAGAGCGCTATAAGACTTACCTGTCTGTTAGTTACTTGTCTGTTGCCGACCTGATTGACCTAACTAACTACACTCCTGCCTGCCTCCTGCCAAGACCTCTGTCTGAACCAGACTAGTCTCTTGCCTGCCTCCTGCCTTGACTCCTGCCTGGACCTGACCATTTTCCCACCTGCCGTCTGCCAAGACTTTTCTCTGGACCTGACTACTCTCATACCTGCTGTCTATCTTGACCCCTGCCTGGACCTGACTATTCTCTCGCTTGCCACCTGCCAAGACCTGTGTCTGAACCTGACTACTCTCTCCCCTGCCTCAATCCATATCTGGGTCTTCCTGTTCTCTCACCTGCCAAGAATATCTGCCTGAACCTGACTACTCTCTCATCTGCCTCAACCCCTCCCTGGGTCTTCCTGTTCTCTCATCTGCCAAGACCTGAGCCTGAACCTGACTACTCTCTTGCCTGCCTCAACCCCTATCTGGGTCTTCCTGTTCTCTCACCTGCCAAGACTTGAGCCTGAACCTGACTACTCTCTCGCCTGCCTAGACCCATGTCTGTGCCCAACTATTCTCTCTCGCCCGCCACCTGCCAAGACCTGTGCCTGAACCTGACTACTCTCTCGCCTGCCCAGACCCATGTCTGTGCCCAACTATTCTCTCACCTGCCAAGACCTGTGCCTGAACCTGACTACTCTCTCACCTGCCTCAACCCCTATCTGGGTCTTCCTGTTCTCTCACCTGCCAAGACTTGAGCCTGAACCTGACTACTCTCTCGCCTGCCTAGACCCATGTCTGTGCCCAACTATTCTCTCTCGCCCGCCACCTGCCAAGACCTGTGCCTGAACCTGACTACTCGCTTGCCTGCCTCAACCCCTACCTGGGTCTTCCTATTTTCTCAACAGCCAAGACATCTGCCTGGACCTGACTGCCCTCTTCTCTGAAGCCTTGTGAACAGCCTCAGCACTGTAGCCTTCATGTTCCTGCCAATCCCCTTGTTGAGGTGATCCTGAGGGTCGCGACCCAGTGCCAGTTTGCACCAAAGAAAACCAGGACCCCATAGAGTTCCCGGCTGCAAAAGCAGCTCTGGTGAACACCAGCTATCACTCAAACTCCATGGCTCAGGTGAGCCCCCGTCACCTGCCAGGGGCACCATAACAGAGCTGAACAGAAAGCACAAACACGCTTATGTTCACATTGGGTAAATATAAAGAGAAAGCCTGAAAAAAGAAAACGAATGTAGTCACCACATCTAAGGACTGGTATGCTGCAACATGTCACATTTTTGTTCTTGGATTTTAATACACTTTTTAGGACTTTCGGGCTTTTATTGTGCAGCTGAACTATGTCTAATATTCTCTGTGAGCAGCAATTGTGATTTTTGCTGACCGTTGCAACCTGCACTGAGATAACTGAACAGGAAGCTGGTTGTGTTCACAAAAGTGCGTTCCTCTCTGGCGTTTATATTCAGCCCTGCTTAATAAGGCCCTCTCTTATCTGTCTCTTACCAGGTCTTTATGGATTACTTCTCCCGCAGCCTCAACATCGACTACCAATCAAAAGGTGTCACTGTGCAGGTAAATCGGTAGAATGCATCTGTAATGTATTAATTTGGTATCTGACATCAACTAGTGGACTGTGACCCCATGGAGCTGGACCATCGTTTTGTTCATATTTACAGTATATGACCTCAGGATTATAATGATCAAATACAAGCAGTGCAAGTACCTGAATCTGACCTGACCTGCAGTCCCTGGACAGCAGAGTTTAGACGAAGTGATGGACAAGCAGCACAAGCAGCCAATCATTTCATGTGCCGACAAGCCCCATTTAGCGCCATCTAGTGGCCATAAAATATGTAATGTGTAATACTGCAATATGGCCACAAGATGGTGATTAAAGGGGCATAGGAAATAAGTATATCTATTATTGGCTCAATCTAGTGGCCATAATGTGATATTACAAGCAAAAAAATCATAATGAATTATACACAGAAAAAAACATCAGTAACAGGTCTATTCAGAAAAGGGGTAAAGAGTTTGGAGAAGTGAACCATCTAGGGCAACATAGCTAAACTGGAACTGGAAAGTGAGCTGAATTGCAGAATGTTTCCAAATCAGCGATTGTTGTCCTAGATTGTTCACTTCTCCTGCCTTCTCCAAACCCTTCAACCTTTTTGTGAATAGACCTGTTAAAGAACGTTCATTTGCGCATATATTCACATATAACATAACCTTCACAGACATGCGCAGGGCTGTTATCTATCAATTATACCCTAATTTATTTAATATTGCCTTTATTCCCCTGTCCTAGCTTTTCTTTTTATTAACTGTTTGTATAGAAATGTTTTACATTTCTGTAATGCCTTAGCTTTTGTAATGCTGAATTAAAGACCACAGTAGGGGCGCACGTTTGCTTCCTCGCCTCTGGTGCCAGTGGACCTTGTCCCATTGGAATACCGGCAGCCCCCCTCGTACACAGGGCTGGATTTCCCACACGGCCAACCAAGGCCCGGCCTCGGGGCAGCAGGGAGTTGAGGGGCAGCAGGGGTGCGGAATTCCTATCATGCCTGGACGGGTAGTTGTTTTCTTTGGGCAAGCAGAGCTAAATGTACAGCGGGGAAGCCGCAGCTTGTTTTGTACAAGTGATCTTGGCGACATTGTATGCAGCCTGCAGGTCCGCCACTCTTAATGTTAGGGGAGGGGGGGGTTTGGCAGGTTGGGAGGCGCATTGAGGAACCTGGCCTTGGGGCAGCAGAGAAAGTAAATCCAGCCCTGCTGGTACAACCTCGTCAATTGAGTAAGCATGGGTAAGCATGATCGTATTCTCATTGGAGTCTGTCCCTACAGAGCGTGATGCCCCTTATGGTCTCCACCAACATGACTCTGAATACGAAACCGAATCTGCTGGTGAAGACGGCCGACGATTATGCCCGGGAGGCGCTGAACACCGCGGGGCTGACCAGTCGTACCAGCGGCTGCTTATCCCACACCATCCAGGTACAGACTGGCTTCTCCATCTCCCTTTATATCTCCAATACCAAATTGAAACTTCTTTTTGTCCTATTCACAGATTGATAGTCAGGTGGTCGCAGCTAGGTGAAAGGACCCCGCTCAGCTATAGGAGGGATGAATGAAGAGGAATTCCTCCATGTTCCATTTTGGAAATATTTCAAGCAATTAAACAAAACTGATTCTTAGATGATGTTCTTGAAAGTGGAACTCCTGTTCCGATAATCCCTTGTTGACTTTAGACTCCTGGCTCCTCTCTATGAAGATGACAGATGTTGTGTAAATTCCGGTGTTCTATCAAAGTTTGTGACTGCGTTAGAATGTGTGACCAGCAAAAAGTTTCCCAGCACACTCACCAGCCAGCATGCAAAAAAAATCCTGTCTCACCGCTAAGGTTAAAAGCAGAGGTTTGGATACACGTCTTCTGAATATGTGAAAGCCGCACAGCCGCGTCAAGGCTCCTCTGTATAGTGCAGTCCTAACACAGTGGTGATTAAATACCACCAAAATAAAGCTCTATCTGTCCCCAAAAAATGGTATAAAATTCATTTCAGTACAGCGTTGCATGACGGAATAAACGTCAGTGAAAGTATCGCAGCGCTGAATACTGAAAAATGGCCTGTCCAGGAAGGGGGTCTAAACACCTGGTCTTGAAGTGGTTAAAGGCACAGGTACGCACAAGGGACCCCGCACATCACCATGGCAGCTGAGGCCCCCCATCCGTCACTGCACCAAATCAGTCAAGCAAAACAAATGGTAAACGCACTCATCAATTCGTCACCAGCTTTACAGCAAGGTGCACACGGAACGGCTTCAAACCGTAAAACAGCAAAAAGTTTCCAGCCACCATGCAAAAAAACCTGTCTAACCGCTAAGGTTAAGCAGAGTCCCATGGTCGCACATTTTAACGTAATCCCGCTCAGTTTTTCGGCGGTGGAATATGTGACCATCAAAAGGTGAAGAATTCCAAGGCTTTCTCAGCTGTTCCGGGGCAGATCGGCATCGCAGATGGTATGTGCAGGAGAACCGATCGGCCCTGGAACAGCTGATCGGTCCTGAAATGTCACTTCTCTCAGACTCTGTGACTGCGATCTCACATTCCAGAAAGTCGGATAGAAGTGACATTTCAGGACTGATCAGCTGTTCCAGGGCCGATCGGTTCTCCTGCACATACCATCTGCGATGCCGATCTGCCCCGGAACAGCTGAGAAAGCCTTGGAATTCTTCACCTTTTGATGGTCACATATTCCACCGCCGAAAAAGTGGGCGCGATTACATTAAAATATGTGACCCCCGTGACCGGTCACACATTTCACCGCCCGAAAAAGTGGGCGGGATCACGTTAAAATGTGTGACCGGACACAGATTCCAATACAGTCACAATCTTTGATAGAACACCGGCACCCCCAGCATCTCTAGTACAAGGCTATTCCTATTGGTCCTGCATGACATACATGCTATAGGCACAGCACCATCTAGTGGTTGCATGGAAGAAACACAGGCTTGTCCTAGTTAGCAGGGAAACAAGGAAAACCAGGATTCGGCTATTGTCTGTGACTCAGGAGGAAGGGATCACATTGATTGCCGGAGGAATGGATCACATTGATTGCCTGAGGAAGGAACCCCATGTGGTTCCGAACCATTGCATTTCACCGTGATACCATGATTATCTGACGTCAATAGAGACGGATCAGGTGGAATTCGGTGTGCTGGTGACTTCATTCCTCTCATCAGCATGCCGTATCCACGCTGCAGTGGTGCATTAGCATTGCCGTATACGCGTCCAATCACAATACAGCATAAATGACAGGGGCTCTTGATCTTATTCCTGATCTATGCCCCTCCTTTTATTTTTTGCAGAGCTTTGTGTTGGATCTGTTCCTCGCGGAGTGCGTCATGAGTTCCAAAATCCTGGCCTGGATCGCCCGCCGCACCCTCCGCCTTCTCCTGAGGATTCGGAAAGTGGACTGATGGCGACTCTTTACACAAATCCAGATTTATTAAACTGGAGTTTAGCTGACAAAGGATTCGTGTTTGTGTCCATCCGGCCCTGAAATGTGCACAGCTCTGACATGCAGCTCCAGTTATAGAAAGGGAGATTGGTATTGGTAGGTTGGGTCATCGACTGCGGTTCTGCTCCGGGAAGAAGGAAGACTCCTGGATCAGGGAGAAGGTGTAGGGATGAATGTTTATTGTAGGTGAGCCTGCGCTAAGGGAAAGCAACAGGTTTGTGTGGCCTGTTCCTTCCCCCCGCCCAGGGAAATGTGCGTTACCCAAATGTAACAGGAAGTGAGAGGAAATCTCTCTCTGTGACATCTGTCATAAGAAAGGGGGTTACCATTAGATAATCACCCCTCCCCTCTAGTTCCTGTGACAACTCTAAAATATTGGATTTCCCATCACTCCCTGTTACGGTGACAATGGGCACCAGGTCCAATGGAAAGGGTGAATCCCCATATGCCAACCACAGCACGGCTCCCCAAGCTGCAGTCTGCTCACGCTGTTGGTTGAGGAAAGTCGCCAAGCTTAGAAGCCCTGAAGAAGGGAGAGTTTTTATACCCCTGAAACATGTTGGCATCTGTTTTTTTGGATCCCCAACCAATACCCCATTCCCCCAGTATTGGCTGTGCATGGAATGACTGCTCGATCAGTCCCGCACATTATAAGTCTTCTTGCAATAGACCGGGTGCCTGCAGCTACTTCCCATGGGTAGGACTTTGGCACACATGACATGGAGGCTTTGAAGGAAAATTCCTCACTCAATAACTATTAACAGTTCACACAGTTGAATATGAAGGGAATCCTTCCAACAAGGGACGACATGAAACAGTTGCAAATGATCGGCTCAATGGTCCTTACAAAGTTGCATCAGTCCCATACAGAGGGTGAGGAGTGTTATTGTGGGGCCCATGCGGGCAGGCAACCTGAATGCTCATGCTTGTATCCCAGGGTCAGGCCCGAGGCCCAAGGTCTTTCACTGCAGGTGTTCTATCAAAGATTGTGACTGGGTTGGAATGTGTGACCGGTCACGCGGTCACACATTTAAACGTAATCCCGCCCAGTTTTTGGGCGGTGGAATGTGTGACCGACAAAAGGTGAAGAATTCCAAGGCTTTCTCCACTGTTCCCGGGCAGATCGGCATCACAGATGGTATCTCAGCTGTTCCAGGCCAGATCGGCATCACAGATGGTACGTGCAGGAAAACCGATCGGCCCTGGAACAGTTGATCGGTCCTGAAATGTCACTTCTATCCGACTTTGTGGAATGTGAGATCGCAGTCACAAAGTCGGATAGACGTGACACTTCAGGACTTCCGCTGTTCCAGGGCAGATCGGTTCTCCTGCGCATACCATCTGTGATGCCGATCTGCCCTGGAACAGCTGAGAAAGCCTTGGAATTCTTCACCTTTTGCCGGTCACACATTCCACCGCAGAAAAAGTGGGCGGGATTACATTAAAATGTGTGACCGGTCACACATTCCACTGCCGAAAAACTGGGCAGGATTAGGTTAAAATGTGTGATCACGTCACCGGTCACGCAGTCACGAAGTTTGATAGAACACAGGCTCACAGCCTGGGAGGGCTTCCCCTTGAGGGGAGAGACATGGCTGCTCTACATGATGGCATGGAGGATCTCCCTCACTGGAACATTTATCGTAACGGCCCACTAGCGCCAACCAGAGGACACTATAAGTGCTGCACTTCCCAAAGTGTTCCTTCCATTCTAGTAAATGCCCCCCGAGCTAGCCGCACATCACTGTCAATGTGCTTCGTACGAGCCTGCCAATCAATGCCTGTGGGCAGAAAACGTCGCGGTGCTGTGCAGATCGTACCCACCCACAGAAGGAAGCGTGGGACCCATCAGCGCTGGTCACCATTTGGTTCTGGGAGCCTTCTTATACCCGTCACCCTATGCTGAGGGGTATGTGGGCTGATATCCCACGGTGGGCACCCCTGGCATGGTGACGCCAGCCTTGCACGCCAGGTTGATTTGTAACCAATTCAGTGCCGGTGTTCTATTGAAAGTTCCAACTTGTCGACCTCTCCAACTGGTGACGTCACATCCGGTGACTGGCAGTAGGAGGTCTACAGCAGATGGAGCTAGTGCGCATGCCCAGGAAATCCTTGTCGCACTGTCTAACTATTGCCGCAGCGCCTGCGCGGCGATCCACTTCTATAACCTACTACAGTTATATGTGTCTTAGGTTATAGAAGCCGATAGCCTCGCAGGCCCAGTGGCTGTTGCCTCATCGGATTCTATAACCTAGTCAAAGGTTATATTATGTTACAGCGCCTGCGCGGCCACATGATTCTTTCTACAACCACAGTGGCCACAGCGCCTGCGCAGCTATCGGCTTCTATAACCTACGACAAATATGTTTGTACTAGGTTATAAAATCCGATGAGTGGCAATAGTTAGGTCGACAAGGATTTTCTGCCCATGCGCACTAGCACCATCTGCTGTACATCTACTGGCAGTCACCGGATGTGACGTGGCCAGTCAGAGAGCTCAACAAGTCGGAGCTTTCGATAGAACACTGGTCTTATAAAAACTCAGGATCAGCACTACGGACAGCGCATATGATTCTGACCCCCACTCATGACATTCAAGTGGATCTGAACTCTAACTGGATGACGTTTTGCATCTTAAACAATCACATTTCTTCCTTTCATGAATTACTCTTCTCACCTTTTTTTTGTATCTGATACTGACCTCCTCCATCCTCTCTCAGCCACTTCCTGTCTACATGCCCTTTTAGTGTAGGCTCAGCATCATTGCTCTGGATTGGCTTCCCCATAGTGACAATGGTGGACCACGCCTAAGCAATGTGTGTCTGCACGGCCGCTTGTAGTTGTCACCAGGGGACATGTGGCTTTGTGACAACGCAGCAGCACAATTAAGAGACGGTTGTCACTCTGTTACAGGAAATGACTGAAGAAGGTGCTTCATGGCAGGATCACCGGGGATTATTTTACTGAATCCTAATTGCATTATCATTATTATACAGGGTTTATGAAGTGTCGACGGTTTGCACAGCGCTTTACAATATAATGGGAGACAAGAGGGTTCGGAGGGCCCGACTCATGAGGTCTTACAATCTAAAATATTAAATCTGATATGAAATTCAGTGATCCGGTTTAGATCTATTTTTTGGTCTTTAAGCTGAACTCCGGGCGCACACAAACCTTTATTTAAATCTATTCCTCAATAGCCACAGAGGATATAAATCCACTTTGTGAGCACCAAATGCCTTTACGAACCCAGCTATCACCTAGTGACACCATCACTGTGCTGAGAGCAGAGCTGTGGGAGGTACCTGGCAGGTCCCACCCACTACAGGAGGGGGAGGAGACAAGACCAGTTACCCCGCACAAGTAGAAAGAGTAGCAGTGAGCAGTCTTTATTACAGGAGCGGGGCGGAGACATGACCAGTCACCCTGCACAAGGAGAGAGAGCGGCAGTGACCGGTCTTTATTACAGGAGCGGGGCGGAGACATGACCAGTCACCCTGCACAAGGAGAGAGAGCGGCAGTGACCGGTCTTTATTACAGGAGGGGGCGGAGACAAGACCAGTCACCCTGCACAAGGAGAGAGCAGCAGTGACCGGTCTTTATTACAGGAGGGGGCGGAGACAAGACAAGACAAGTCACCCTGCACAAGGAGGGAGAGCGGCAGTGACCGGTCTTTATTACAGGAGGGGGCGGAGACAAGACCAGTCACCCTGCACAAGGAGAGAGCAGCAGTGACCGGTCTTTATTACAGGAAGCTCCTCACACGGGATTACTGCACAGATCTGGAAGAAATACAGAGAGCTCACCAAGATTCAGGAAGTACACACGTGACTCTGGTATTTGTCCCGGAGTTCAGCTTTAAATAATCGGTAAACGAGGGTGCAGTATGACCAGTTTGTTTCCTATGAATGATATAAATGTGGAAAATAAGAAGCGACGTCACGCCAATGTCTCCTCTCGGGAAGTATTTCTCCGTGAATCCGGTGGGAGGTATTAATGGTATTAGGTGTCCACGAGTTATCACAAAATATGAGCGCGCCTGTTCACCGGTCACTGCGGCAGGATTGTAATCTGGTGACTTATGAGAACTTTTCTGCCACGTACAGACATGAGTTCTCAGCACCCGGAACCGCTTTCCTTATAGTTGTATCTACAACAAGCAGAAACCAACGAGGGCCACCTTCCCGCGGGTGGAATCCTTCTTCACTGAGGATCCAAAGAGGAACTCTGGAAGGACGAAAAACGTACCCTTCTAGAGGGGTACCCTTCAGGAAATGGACTGAGATAACTAGACGGGTCATGTATGAGCAAATGGCGCCCCGAGAGGACTAGATGGGTGAAGTATGAGCAAAGGCGCCCCGAGAGGACTAGACGGGTCAAGTATGAGCAAAGGCACCCCGAGATAACTAGACGGGGCATGTATGAGCAAAGGCCCCCCGAGAGGACTAGACGTGTCAAGTATGAGCAAAGGCACCCCGAGATAACTAGACGGGGCATGTATGAGCAAAGGCCCCCCGAGAGGACTAGATGGTTCAAGTATGAGCAATGATGCCCCGAGAGGACTAGACGGGTCAAGTATGAGCAATGGTGCCCCGAGAGGACTAGATGGTTCAAGTAGGTGCAAAGGTGCCCCGAGAGGAAAAAAAAAGCCTGCAGGCACTGCAGGGGGCAGCCCGGGGCCTCGGCCGTGAGGACCCAGCAAACAGCCGCCTGAGTACACGGGCGCGCTGAGATGGACACACCACACACAGGGGTGATTTTCTGCAGCCTCCCCCACCAGGAAACAGCCAGAGGAGGTGAAGGTAAGTTATAAATAAAATCATTATTTTTTTGTAGCCCAATTGATGGCTTTGCTGTATAAAGTACCGCTGGTACTTGTAGTTCTATATAGCAGGTCCAATGCAGAATGGCACCCTCTATAGAGGACTACAAGTCTCAGCAGTACTTTATACAGCAATGCCATTTTTCCAACTTTGTTTTTTTGTGGTTGCTACAGGGGATATGGGTTATGGGGGTCTGTGGGTTTTGTTTTTTTTTGGGGGGGGTGGGGGGGGGCAAAAATAATCTTGCACCAGGGCCCTTTGTTCCCTGGGTCCGCCACTGTGGAGGGCTACGGCCGAGTGATACACAAATAAGATACATTGTTGTTCATAGTTCCGGGACTGAAATGTATTTTTTAAGGTGACTGTACAGAGATCACATGACCACAGGTAGCATGTAAGGTAAACATCAACAGTATGTACACGCATGATTAGGACACACGCCTGCTCAGCAAACAGGTGGTGCTGTGGCTTAGTTGGTTAAAGCGCCTGTCTAGTAAACAGGAGATCCTGAGTTCGAATCTCGGCAGTGCCTGCTCCTTTTTATTTCTTCATCAGAAGTCTACAAAAAAGGAATCCATGGTGGGAATGTCCAACATCTGCCCGCTCTCTGAATGGCTGACCCAAACCAGAGCTCGGTGTAGGGGGGTTCAGATCCGGTACTGGGGGGAAGGGGTGCTTGGTGGTCATTGGAGGAAAGCACATCTCTATGATATGGTCAACTCTGAGAAGATACAAGCGTCAGAGTTTTAGGGCCATTATGAAAATAATCAGATGTTCAATATCTCATCAATTGTCATATTTGGTCAATGGCATTGACCTAATCTGGCCCAATAAGCTCCGGCCGGGGGCATACCCCTGCCCACAGCTGCACCTAAACAAAGGGACATGATGCTTGTAGTGACATCATTGACCTTTTATGGCTGCATGGTCTTATTTGGTCAATGGCATGGACCTTATATGGCCCGATCAGCTGTGGCCAGGGTATTCCCCGCCCAGCAACTGCACCTAAACAAGGGGGCGGGATGCTGGTGACACTGTTGACCTTATATGGCCGCGTGGTCCTATTTGGTCAATGACATTGACCTACTATGGTTCAGCAACCTATGGCCAGGAACAAAGGAATCTCTCGGAATGGCTGATCCAAACCAGAGCTCGTATTCGGTGTAGGGGGTTCAGATCCGGTACTGGGGGGGGGGGGGGGAGTGCTTGGTGGTCATTGGAGTCACACACACCGGGCACATCTCTATGACATGGTCAACTCTGAGAAGATACAAGTTGTAGAGTTTGAGGTCCAATATGAAAATAATCAGACAATCAATATCCAATCAGCTGCAAATCAAACATGCTGTTGAAGAACGACGTCTGTGGTTGCACGTGGCCATTGCGCTGCAACATACATGTTGGTGGAACATACAGGTTCTCCAATGCCACATGTAACCCAGAAGGAGCTTCTAAAGGTGGCCATTAGAGGTGAGTTCAGACCAGGCCCAAGAGGAAACTGTCGGTGCCGCCGCAATCAGCTGCGGCTGGGGCACTCTCTGCCCCATGTCTCCACATAAACAAAGGGGTGGGATGCTGGTGACATCATTGACCATATTTGGTCAATAACATGACAGAAAAGTATATATTCTTTTCAAGTTCCAGCTTCTGGCTGATTACACGACGAGTGGGATCTTCTCCGGAGGTGGGCGGTCCTTAATCACGCAGAGAACATTGCTTGGGTTATGACTTGTGAGAATCATTTGCTGCAGTAGCAAAATGGGCCCAGGCTCCCAGGGGGCGGGTCCATGACACCCTGGCCTAAGAGGAAGCCCCTCCTCCCGCAGCCCTCTACAGCTCCTCCCTACATCATTGTTGTTTTCTGTAGTGCTGTATGTGTCACTATGAAAACAATGCACTCCCTGTGCGGTCGATATCTCAACTCAGCGACCAATAAAGCCGAACCGCCAGCAGGTCAATCACCCCCCCCTTGTAGGTTGGTCACATAATACGTAGATGGTCACTGATGCATGATGATTTCAACGCCAATCTTTCATCATTGTATGCGAGTGCAGAGCAGCAAGGGGGCGGGTCTATGACACCCTGCATTCACAACCCGGAAGTCAGAGGACACCTAGTGACTGAATGAAATTACTACAGGGAACAACACCTGACAGGAAGTGATATTTTCAGTCAGATCTGTTTAGTTTTAAACATTGGTGTTTATTGTTACGCTATTATTATTAATATATTATTATATTTGACTTATCGGTCTTTAAACAGCTCCCTTTAAGACAGACCACGCCCCCTTACAAATAGCACCCCCCCCCCCGAAAAAACCCCCTCTCCCCTTAGCCCCGCCCTCCTCCGGACAGTTCGACCCCGCCCAGCTGTAGACGCGTGACGCCAGCGCGTAGTCCGGGCTCGGCCGCACCGCGGTGAGAGGAGAAGCCGGAAGTGTCGCCAGGGAGGGAGAGCCGGGGCCGCTGCTCACAGCAGCGCTTATGGGGTTGTCGGGGAGTGACGATGTCTCCGCTCCGGGGGGCGAGGAGGAGGCCAAGTCCAAGGTACGAGCCGGGCTGCTCGGCTGGCTGTCGACGGGCGCTTCCGGCACGGTGCGTGACGTCAGTCTGTGCGCCGGAAGTTATTACTGTTGCCATGTGCATTGTTATAGGGGATCTCTAGTGGTAGATGATTGGGGGGAGGTCAATTGTTCTGAAGCCAGAGGATGAGGAGGACAGCCCGAGACTTTCAATTCATCAGGGGCAGCTCATGTGTTGCTGTTTATAAATCCAACTCTTATTTTGTATCTAATAGGTATTTGGAAGTGTCAACAATTCCGTTGCTGGTGACCACGTGAGCAGAATTCCCCTCACTTCCTGTGCATGTGACACCAGGTTGAGAAATGAGGGGGGTTGTTGTTGCCGGGGCAGCGAGACAGGCAATAATAAGTAACCTCACCAAGGGTCTAAACCTCCCCCATTGTGAAGACCAAAAGTACTTTGTTGCTCAATCTATTCCCCCACTGTAGAGATTTCCCATCACTTCCTGTGTCAACACTCAGGGGACACCACCTCAGTGGGTACACGGCCTGGAAGTAGAAACATAGGAGCTCCATGCTTCCCTGCTTTGCCAATAACCAATAAAATCAAGTTTTGGGCTTTAACCCTTCTGCTCCACCGTGATGCGATCGCGGGGTCTGTCTGTTGCTGAGTCCAGTGGGAGGGGCCTGCAGGGTCCTGTAAACATCCCAGCGCTCTGCCTCAGAATTATATGGAAGAGCACATCCCTGGAGTCCCTTTAGATGTGGCCACTGGGTGCTGTGAACTCCGCTGATCAGGTGACTGGTTGCAGCACCTCCTAAAGGGGTGGCGGGGGAACGATCTTTCACATGAAGCTCGGGGAGAAAATGATTGACGGCAGAGAAAGCTCGTAGGTGTAGTGATGAGGGGGGAGAGGTGATTGATGAACGATGGAGGTCCTTCAGACAGGAAATGGAGGCGGCTCGAGATAGCTGCTGCAGCTTCAAAGGGTTACCAGGGGTAGTCAAACCCCGGCCCTCCAGCTGTGGTGAAACTACAAATCCCACAGTATAACCCCCCCACCCCCCCGGGGTTATACTGTGGGAGATGCCGGTTTGCAGGGAATTGAGATTAATCCATTCCAACACAGGAGAGGACTCGTCACAAGTGAGAGGAATAAGGGTAAAGCTGGAGTTCAGCTTCAATAAAGACGCGTAACATGTTAAAGCTTACATGACTTCTTTTATGCTTGGGTTTACATTCCCTTCAAGAGGAACTCCGGGGACACCAAAATGAACCCTCGCGGTGGGGCCACCCATCATGGCAGGATCACCTGACTGACGGTCACCGCTCAGGTTATTTTAAAGCTGCAGATTTAAAAAGCCTACCCCGGTACCGCAAGGGTTACCTGCTCATTTTGGACTAGTGGCCGGAATAAAGAAGATGACGTGCTTACCTGATCCTCGGTGCTGCAGCGGTGACTGTGGTTTGTCCCTCGGCGTCCTCACGTCATATACCAACCTCCTCCCGTGACCCAAAGCTCAGTATATAGCGGGCTATTGCTGGCGATACACTGACAGCGCCGCTGCCGGGACGGATCCCTACAACACTGTTGAGATCCACCCGGCTGCGTGAGTGACAGCTGGCTCTGACTATCTAGAGGCAGAGTCAGCTGTGCCCGCCCCCTCCCCCGTCCGTTCCTCCACTCAGCACTGGAGAGGGGGGAATCCTTGCAGGGAATGATGACTGACAGTCAGCGCTCTCTGCAGGTAGACGATCAGGAAGTGATCGGATGCATGTTTCTGCTCACTTCCCGATCTATATAGCCGACCTGTGACAGCTTCTTTGTCACGCGTCGGCTCTAACTGTGAGGATGAGTGGAAACCACTCTCCTCATAGTTCTCCTTTAACCAACAAGGGTTATAGTGTAATTTTTTCGCATACCTGGAGTTCTTCTTTAAACATTTGTCACTTTGTCGCACTGTAGTAGTATGTGTTCCCGAGTTCTGTTCTCTGTACACTATTTGTATCTTTCTTCTTCTTCTATTTAGGATTTATTGATCCCCCCCGGTGAGCACCCCCTCCAGTACCGCTACACCTTCTGGTATTCCCGCAGGACGCCCTCCCGGCCGGCGAGCACGCACAACTATGAACAGAACATCCGGCAGTTCGGCACGGTGGCGACAGTAAGAGCGAGCGGCGGATCCTATACTGCCTGTGATATCTGTCTGTTGTGATAAATATGAACGTGCATCGTGTCCAGTACTTCAGGAAATGATAGACGTCACCGGTGTTCTATTGCAAGGTCCGACTTGTTGAGTTCTCCGACTGGTGACGTCCCATCCGGTGACTGCCAGTAGATCTACACCAGATGCAGCTAGTGTGCATGTCCATGGGATCCTTTTTGAAATCTCTAACTATTGCCACTGCACCTGCGTGGCGCCATCACATTTTATAACCGCACTCTGCACTGCACCTGCGTGGCGCCATCACATTTTATAACCGCACTCTGCACTGCACCTGCGTGGCGCCATCACATTTTATAACCGCACTCTGCACTGCACCTGCGTGGCACCATCACATTTTATAACCGCACTCTGCACTGCACCTGCGTGGCACCATCACATTTTATAACCACACTCTGCACCTGCGTGGCACCATCACATTTTATAACCACACTCTGCACTGCACCTGCGTGGCACCATCACATTTTATAACCGCACTGCACCTGCGTGGCACCATCACATTTTATAACCGCACTCTGCACTGCGCCTGCGCAGCTATCGGCTTCTATAACCTAGGACAAGTAATAGGCCAAGGTAACTTGGCCGTGTTTGTGGGAGGAGTTGCGGTGGCTCTCTTCCCCTTAAGAAGGGGGACAGGGAGCTCCTAGGCACGTCACGGCGAGGTCGCGCTTGACCCTCCCGCCCTTCCCCAGGTTCTATCATTTCACTAGAGCGTGCCCCCTTATTTGGCACGCTGACCATAAAATCATGGCACACATCAGGTTGGTATCGGTAGAGGTCATGAAGACTTCGGAAGCCTAAGTAACTCTGACCACAAATATAAGTTTTGTACTAGGTTATAGAATCTGATGAGCCGCGCAGGCGCAGTGGCAATAGATAGAGAATTCGGCAACAATTCCATGGCCATGCGCACTAGCTCCATCTGGTATAGATCTACTGGCAGTCACCGGATGTGACATCACCAATCGCAGAGCTCGACAAGTCGGAGCTTTCGATAGAACACCGGCACTCGTAATGTGCAAGAAGCGTGAGCACCTTTATTGAGGTCACTATGTCGCCCTGAGGAAGGGACCCTGCATGGCCCGCGAAATATTGGCTCTGCGACGCATCAGTAAAAGTGCTCATGCTTCTTGCACATTACAAGTGAGTGCCGGTGACTTCTGTCATTGATTGGACTGTGGCACGGAGCCGTCGGTGTTGTCACTTCGAGCACCAACCGCTATTTCCTGTGCTCAAAGCGCTGTATGGAGTGCAGGTGATTCATTAATACTATAAGTACTTCAAGCAGACACCCTTCTCACCCCCTTCTCTCCCTCCCCCCCCAATCTCATCATGCCTGTGGTTGTCAGGGTCTTGCCATGGAACTTCTAGTTCCTCAACAGCTGGCAGCTCCTGACACCTCTGTCCTCCGCAGGTGGAGCAGTTCTGGAGGGTGTACAGCCATCTGGTACGTCCCGGAGACCTGAGCGGCTACAGCGACTTTCATCTCTTTAAAGAAGGCATCAAGCCCATGTGGGAGGTGAGCTGAACGAGAGAGCGCTGGGTGAGGGGACTGAATGTAGGGACACAAGTTGCTGTAACACACACGACAAGTTACACAGTGCACATTCACATCGGTCCCCGCCCCCGAGGAGCTTACAATCTCAGGTCCCTATCTCACATACATACACGGCCAATTCAGACCGGAGCCATTGCTACCAGCAAGTCTTTGGATGGTGGGAACCCAGGGTACCCAAAGGAAACTCACACAAGCACAGGCAGAACATGCAAACTCCATGCAGATAGTGACCTGACCAGGATGTCTGTTCCCACAACTTACAGCCCCCCCTTTCCTGTGACATTTCATCTGTCTCAGAGGAAACAAAAAGCTGATTGACTTACAGTATAGAACACCCGGGTCCAACAGTCCTCCCATGCTGAGAGATCATAGAGCTGCATTCTGATTCATCATCATCATCATTATTCAGGATTTATATCGCGCCAACAGTTTGCTCCGTGCTTTGCAAAGCAAAGGGAGCTGTACAAGACAAGAGGGTTAGGGGGGTCCTGGTCGTGAGAGCTTACAATCTAAATCAGAGAGGGAAGTGATACAAAGGTAATAACTGAGGGAAGAGCTGATGGAGAAAAACATGATTTAGTTGTTGGGTAGAGGGGGGGATGGACTTCCCGGAAGAGATGAGTTTTCTGGAATTGTCTAAAGGCAGACAGAGTGGGGTAGGGAGTTCCAAAGGATGGGAGACTCTAGAGACGTCTTAGAGGTGAGCATGGGAGGAATGGAGAGGACGCTTCGGGTGATATTTTGAGACGAGGTGGGTGAAGTAGCTAGGGGCAAAGCTGTGGATGACTTTGTGTGATGTTCTTAGTATTTTGAATTTTATTAGTTGGCCAATTGAAGCCAGTGAAGGGATTGGCAGAGGGGGCAGGGGATGGAGGTCAGTGGAGGGATTGGCAGAGAAGGGCGGGGGGATGGAT